TCAGACAAATAATACACTGGGCGCTGAACTTTGAGAGCCTTTCCTTCTTCTTCCCGCTCGACCGTTAGCACAGTACTGACGACTTGTCCTGTGGCTGCGATGTAGAGCAACAGAGGCTCTTTGCTGATTGGAGCAGCAAGCACCGGCTGGGTGGAGAGCAGAGCTTTTAGCTCGGCAAACGCTGCATCAGCTTCTGGAGTCCACTCGAACTTGTCAGCCTTCTTCATCACTCGATAAAGAGGCAGTGCCTTTTCACCGAGTCGTGAGATGAATCGACTTAATGCGGCCAAGCATCCAGTAAGCTTCTGGACATCGTGCACTCGCATAGGGCGTTTCATTCGGAGAATAGTGCCAATCTTCTCTGGGTTAGCGTCGATTCCCCGTTCGGAAACGAGAAAACCGAGTAACTTGCCACCAGGAACTCCAAATGTGCACTTTGATGGATTGAGCTTGATATCATACCTTCTGAGGTTGGCAAATGTTTCGGCGAGGTCAGCGAGCAGGTCGGAACCTTTTCGTGACTTGACAACAATATCATCCATATAAGCTTCCACATTCCGACTGATTTGGGTGAGTAGACACTTCTGGATCATTCGCATAAATGTGGCTCCGGCATTCTTGAGGCCGAATGGCATGGTGATATAGCAGAAGCACCCGAATGGAGTGATGAAAGCTGTTTTTACCTCATCGGGCCCGTACAGACGGATCTGGTGGTACCCGGAGTAAGCATCTAAAAAAGACAACCTCTCGCATCCCGCGGTCGAGTCAACAATTTGATCTATGCGAGGGAGAGGAAAGTGATCTTTCGGGCAGGCCCGGTTGATGTGCTTGAAATCAATGCACATTCGGAGCGACTTGTCCTTCTTAGGAACCATGACGACATTAGCGAGCCACTCGGAGTGGTATATCTCTCGGATAAATCCTGCCGCCAACAGTCGAGCCACTTCTTCACCGATGGCCTTTCTCTTCTGGACGGCGGACCGCCGAAGATGTTCTTTGACTGGTTTTGCAGACGAGTCGACTCTTAGGTGATGCTCAGCCAGTCCCCTGGGAACACCTGGCATGTCAGCGGGCTTCCATGCAAAAATGTCCCAGTTCTCACGGAGGAACTGGATGAGCGCTTCTTCCTATTTTGGGTCGAGTGTTGTGGAGATGCGGGTCGGAGCTGCTTCGGGGTCGGTCGGGTGAATGTGAACAGGCTTCGTCTCACCGGACGACTGGAATGCAGACTCTGTGGCGGGCTTCTTGGATCGCAGTAAGTCACTCGGATCTGCGTTTTGCTTGTATTCTTCGAACTCGACCGCTGTCACTTGGGAATCGGCAATCTTGGAGCCCTTCTGAAAGCACTCCTCCGCCTTTTTCCTATCACCGGCGACAGTGATCACACCTTTGGGACCGGGCATCTTCAATTTGAGGTACACGTAACATGGTCGAGCCATGAACCGTGCATAGGCTGGTCTCCCCAAAATGGCATGATATGCACTTTGAAAATCCACGACCTCAAACGTCAACTTTTCTTTGCGAAAATGCTTCGAATCACCAAACACTACGTCCAAAGCTATCTGGCCGAGTGACTCGGCCTTCTTCCCTGGTATAACTCCATGAAAGCTCATGTTACTAGTGCTCAGTCGGGACATCGGAATGCCCATACCTTTCAGTGTGTCTGCATACAGTAAGTTCAGCCCACTTCCACCATCCATCAGCACCTTTGTCAGTCGAGTGCCTTCGACAACTGGATCGACCACCAAAGCTTGCCTCCCGGGGGTGGCAATATGAGTCGGGTGATCAGATTGGTCGAATGTGATGGGTGTTTGAGACCACTTCAGATAATTTGCCTTTGCTGGGGCAACCATGTTCACCTCTCGGTTAATCACTTTCAGTCAACTTCTGCTTTCCACATCTGCAAAGATCATCAGAGTGGAGTTGATATGCGGATATCCTCCCTCACTGTCCTCTTTGTCTTCGGCCTTGTCCGACTCCTTCTCCTTGTCCTTAGACTGTTTTCCCTGAAACTGCTGGATCAGGAGTCGACATTGACGAGTGGTGTGCTTTGGGTAAATGATATTCCCCTCTTCATCTTTCTTCGTGTGAATGTGACACGGCATATCCATCACGTCGTTCCCTTCTTTATCCTTTACCTTCTTGGGGTTCCAGGATCCTTTTGGTTTCCCCTTAAACTTTCCTTGAGTCACGGCCAGAGCCTCTCCAGGAGCTGCCGGTTCAGCCTTCCGCTTCTGTTTCCGACTGGTGTTTCCTTTTTCCGACTGACTCGGCTTGTGCTTGCCGCTTCGGAGTCGGTCTTCTTCTTCGCCGTTGGCGTACTTGGTAGCAATTTCCATCATCCGACTCAAGGTCATGTCACCGGTTCGACCAAATTTCAAACTCAGTTCTCTGTTCTTGACGCCGTCTTTGAAGGCGCATACTGCCTGATGATCAGAGACATTTTCCACAGTGTGGTGCAAAGTGATCCACCTCTGAATATACTCTCTGAGAGTCTCATTAGTTTTCTGCACGCAGACTTGCAACTCTGTCAATCCCGCTGGTCGCTTGCAAGTCCCTTCAAACGTTCTGACGAACACTCGGGACAGATCTTCCCAAGTGTAAATGCTGCTAGGAGGCAATTGAGTCAACCATGCCCTGGCAGAACCTTCCAACATGAGGGGCAAATGCTTCATGGCCACCTCGTCGTTCCCACCACCGATCTGAACTGCCACTCGGTAGTCTTCAAGCCAAGTTTCAGGCTTAGACTCACCAGTGAACTTGCTGACTCCTGTTGCCAACCTGAAATTGGGGGGGATAACTGCGGCTCTGATAGCTCTGCTGAAACATTCAGGACCAGAAACATGTACTCGACTGCTCGTGAGCACATCTCTGTCGAGTGCGCCTCGATGGGCTCTGTTCCGGTCGACCAACCCTTGCACGATAATGGATCGCGCGTCGAAGCCTGGCTCTCTGGGGTCAACTGGAACCCTACGCCCTGTACTGTACTGACGCCTATCATCTGGCTGCCGAGGAGCGTAAGACCCACCCCTCGGAGGGGAATAGGGCACTCGACGCCTATCATCTCGGTCGAGTCTGTCGCCATATTGATCTCGCCGATTCTCACGCCCTTCGCGCCGCGGAGGCGATCTGGGGCTGTGAGCCGACTGAACCGTATTCACAGTGACAGATCGACTGTGAATTCTATTGCGCGACTGAGACACGGCTGAATTCTGATCTCCTGCTGCCCGGAGCAGATCCCTGATCTGCAGCAAACCTCTGCCAGCTTCTGACTGCGAAGGCTGAATGGACTCTGCTATACGGGTCGCAGCTGCTAAATTCTGAATTGGGGTTCGATATACCTGAGTCGGCGGGAAGAGTTGACGTCGACTGGTGTCGGGAACTCGTTGCCGCGCGCGCTCGTCGAGTGCTCGCTGAAGGTTCTCCAGTCGAGTGCGCTCGGCCAAATTGGCCAGACGCGCCTCCTCCAAGGCACGAGCCTCGGGGGTTTCTCCTGCGATGGGAATACGCAGGGGATCCTCGTTCCTGCGGCGAAGCTCTTCTCTTTGCAGAGAGTCGAGTGGCTCGGGCTGGTACTCTTCGTAGTCTCGTGCAGGGTCGCCGCCGTCACCTGCTCCACCACCACGGGCGAAGCCAGGAGGGCTGTGGGGCCCGTCGACCATCAAGATTTCCGCCGCTGGATCACTGCTACCGCACTCGGATGCAGTCTCTCCGGAGCCAGTCGACTGATCGAACAAGCCGTAGAGAGATTCGTTAGGCTCGATTGCCGCAACTTGTGTAGTGGCCGATTGGCGAGCCACCGTGTGACTCACCCATCGCTGAAGCCTCGACCGGCCTGAGCGCTTGCGCTGGCGGGAGACCGGGAGGGTGGACGATGGAGGAGCCGACCGATACTGGGTCGACGGTTGCCGCAGCAGAACGCCGCGGACACATGCGCGAAAATGCGTCGCACCGCGGACGGGGAGCGCATCTACGTCGAGTGGAGCCTCCTGGAGCCATGCGGAGTCGTCGGCGATGAAGGTGAGAGTGCCGAGACGGATCTCTTGACCCTCGACCAAAATTCCAGCAGACACCATGATGAAAGTACTCGGAAGAATCGCAACTTCTCCACAAAATCGCTAAAACACCTGCCCCACGGTGGGCGCCAACTGTCGTGGTTCTAAGCCTGACAGTAGAGTGGGGGGTAGGTATGGAGAGGCAAGGTCCTAGCTATGGAGAGGTTGTAAGCACAAAGGATGTACGAGTTCAGGCCCTTCTCGGAAGAAGTAACAGCCCTACGTCTCGGAGCCCGGAGGCGGTCGAGTGGATTATGAATGTATGGATTACAAGGTGCCGAACCCCTCTGCCTGTGGAGGGGGGTGGCTTATATAGAGTGCGCCAGGACCCCAGCCAGCCCACGTAGGAGAGGGTTTAAGGTGAGTTAAGTCTGGGGCGTTACTGGTAACGCCCCACATAAAGTGCCTTTACTATCATAAAGTCTACTTGATTACAGGCCGCTGCGGTGCAGAGTGCCTCTTGACCTCCTGGTGGTCGAGTGAGTCTTCGTGGTCGAGTCCTTCAGGCCAGTCGAGTGAATCCTCGTTGGTCGACTGGAAGGCGACCTCTTCTAAGGATGTCCTAGGGTAAGTTACTTGGAACAGGTCCATGACCCTACCCTAGGTACATAACCCCATCACTGGCATTATGGCATTCATACCCCACTTTGTAACATAGGAGGCGAGGGGGTGGCGCACTCTATATAAGCCACCCCCCACCACTAGACTTGGGGGGTTCTTTCCTTCCACCTCTCTCTCTTTTCACCATTAGTCTCAGGACTTAGCTCAGGCATGGGGATCCGTTCCTCTCTTCCACACACACACATTGTAATCTCCGGATACATACTAAGATAAAACAAAGCCTCTCCGGAGCACGAGACGTAGGGTTGTTATCTCCACCGTGAGAGGCCCGAACTCGTTAAAACCACCGTGTCACCCATATGCATCTCGATAGATCATGCTCCGTTATCCTACCACTATTCTACTGTCAGACTTAGAACCACGACACCTGCCGTACTCAACAAGGTCATCCAAAATCTCACCCAGGCTCTCGTACTTGAAGACAAACCCTTCCCCAACAATCTTCTGTGACGAAATGCACACTTTCGATTGCTCGGGGCACCCACGAAATCTACAGAAAACACATGTCGTCAATAGCTCACCGTCACCGCATGAACATGCATGCATGTGGAAGATTTGTACTTTTTTCGTCTCAAAATAAGTATCTCAACTTTGTACTAAACGCGAGACACTTATTTTGAAACAGAGGAAGTAGTACACACCGATCGGCATTCACATTGTATTGCAGGTATTTCTGTGCCATGAGACCAGCAAGCTGCAAGATGGTGACATTGTGGCTGCGGCAGATGTACCTCCCAGACGAGGACTCGTTCTCGGCGACGAACACCTCGGCGCGATCGAGATCCTCCACGTGGGTTATCGACACGGTGCCGGTGACGGACTGCAAGCCTTCCAAGATGGCCAACTGCGCTTCATCACCTGAGATATATAGACACGTCACCGGTCAATCGGGTTATAATGGAATGCCAAAATGATAAACAAATAGCCATATGAAATGTCTTCTATCGGTCTCTCCAAATTTCAGCAAGTAATATGTGAAAATAAGCGACTACTCAAGATCATAGCTTCTTTGTTGAATCTTCCAGTCTGTAAACAAAAAAGAAAGGAATGCTTGCAGGGATGCTCAACACATATGCCTCGATCACTCACCTGACAACAAGGAGAGGGTGACGGGAACGCTGGATGCTGCTTTGGAGACCGGCGCCGCGCCCAAGGTGAACACGGGCAACACGGTGACGAGGTCGATGCCGTTCTCCTCCGCGAATCTACTCGCCGCCTTCTCCGCGAGCACCTTCGACACCGAGTACCCCTGCGACATGAACGCGGAGGACAAGATACCAGGGTCAGCCCATGGCAGGTGTCGTGTTCCTAAATCCCAACCCAGTGAAACGCACGTACCCAGGTTGGTGGCTTGTTGGCCCTGAGGTACTCGACGTCGGACCAGGAGCTCTCGTCCAGCACGTGTCCGTCGCCCTGCAGCGGCCTCCTGGATACCCCGGCGGTGGACGACGTCAGCATCACGCGCTTCACCGTCCCTGCCCTCGCGCAGGACCTCATGGCGTTGAGCGTTCCTTGGACAGTGGCTTCGACCTGATCTCTCTGTTGTCACCATCACCGTAGCAACACAAAGCACACAGTAAGTTATACTTGTCCCTCAAGAGGAAATAAGCTGACATAATTGGGATGCCGAATGCTAAAATGACAATTGCCATCAGAGGGTAATAAGGATCAGAATTCAGAAGCTCTCTACCTGACAGAGGGGCGAGCAACATAATGATTGCGTTCCAACCCACTAACTACACATCTACACTACCATCACAGATGTACGTGAAAACGAAGCTTGGTGGAAAAGTCAGTTTACCTCCGGATCTGCCGACATCAGGTTCAGAGGAGCGGCGACGAGGAAGACGTAGTCGCAGCCGGAAACAGCTTGGTCGAAGCTGCCTTCCTCACTCAGATCGGCACGGATGATCTCCAAGGGGCCAAGTCCTTGCAAGTCCTTGAGATGGGAATTCTTCTCCGTGTCATCTGCAGCGACAAATCACAGAATCTTCAGTTGGGGGCGAACCTTGGGAGCACAAAAACTCGAAGCAATTTCAGCAAAAGATTTGGTAGGCATGCTTTCCTGGCTGAATTTACTGAAGATGAAACTGGAAAGAATAGTCAGGAATCCAACCGGGGTCTCGGACGGTCGTCTTGACAGCGTAGCCTTTCACAAGCAGCAGCTTGATGAGCGCTGAGGCGATGTAGCCGCTCCCTCCGGTGACGCACGCCGTCTTCCTTCTCTCACCCGCCGACATCGCCGCCGGCCACTACTCTAGTGTCGCGATCCAGGGAGGTTCCTCTGCTCTAGTCTGGTCTGGTCTGGTTGTTGCCTTGTTGGCACACTGCGAATACCTGAGAACCCGCATATATCCCCTCGGTGCAAGGAAGATCCTGTGTATACAGACAGACAAGCTGCGGGCCAGTGGTAAATTATCGTAGTACGAATCAATGAGAGGAGGTCCTTTTGGTAGATGAAAATGACCAGCATATTATGTAGAGTCACTGTGAGAAAGTGACGGGTAGCTTTGGTTGGTCATTTGCCTTATCTTAAAACGGGACGAAACCTGTTTCGAGAGCTTTGGTTGGTCGATCTCAACAGCGAGCTACGTTCAGTAGCACGTGATGTTGGCGATATTTTTATTTTTTTCCTTTTTCTTAGAAAACATGCTTCGTGAGAGATGAGATTTTTTTATGAGAAAATGGTGAGAGATAAGATGGGCTAGCAGTTCTCCCCTTCCGGGGTGAAATGGCCGGTGTTTTTTTTCTCCTCAGTTTTCCTTTTTCAGCTTTATTTTTTGAAAATTTCATTTCATTTATTTTATTTTCTACTCCTTTTTACAATTTCATTTTTGTATACAAACAATTTTTACCAAGGCACAAATATGGTTCTCGACAGTGACATGGAAATAGTAATCTCATTTTCATATATAAGATAAACACAGGCAAGAACTAAACAAACAGTACACGCAACATTTTACCAAGATGTGCTCTCGGCGAGAAATCGAGAAATCAAGCATAGCCATCAACATTTTTACATGTTTTGTGCCCTTAGAAGGAATGGTTTATTTTGCAAGTGCATAAAGATCGAGAAGTCCACCATGTCATGATGGAAAGATTCCTAGGGTCTTTGTTGTGCACGACGACATCATGGTATATCTCATCTAAATTCTTGTACCTGTACTTGAATCCCTCCTTGATGAGCTTGTTGGACCAGTCGCTGACCATTGGCTCCTCCAGAAGCTATGAGGGACCACTGAGTGGACAAACTACACTTCTTTGCACATCAATACTTCCTCCGTTTCAAAATAACTAAAGTTGAGTCATCTATTTTGAAACAGATGGATTATATGAGAACATATTGCATGTACTCCCTCTGTAGACTAATATAAGAGTGTTTAGATCACTACTTTAGTATTCTAAATGCTCTTATATTAGTTTACGGAGGGAGTATAATTTTTTTCGAACAATGAAGAAAAAAACTTCATCCCATCTTAATGATAGAAAATATGCTTAATTAACATTATGGAAAGTACTTAAGGTTAAAACCAAAACAAACATCCACATCAGTCGTTATGTAACATGACAGCTTTGAGGGCACACATGGCCGACCTGACACACAACAGAGACGCTCACACGCTAGGCAAGCATCATAGTCAATAGTCCCCACAAACAATTGTGACTTCACCACTGACAACCCCACGACAGCTCTTGTAAAGCTACGCTAAAATTTGGTAAATAATTGTCCACAAGCACCGAGAACATGTTAGCTCTGATTCTAAAGACCAAGTAAGAGGGACGCTGCTTCGGTGCCATAGCTGCATGTGCCTTTGGGTCAATGACATGTGGGCCCAGTCCAAGTAAGAGGGGGTGGGGGTGGGGGGGGGGGACAATGTTGCTTCCATGAAGGATCGTCGAACCGGATTATCCGTCGACTGTCTTAATCACCACTTGGAAGCCACGGAACATTACAAATGTCCATGGAGATTCATATCAATATATGACCCCTTTTCTTTCTAGGAGTGATGACGAACCAGCATATCAATATTTTCTTATCCGGTTATATTTTTACAGATTTGATGTCTAGATCAGATGGTTCTCGATCGTGACATGGAAATAGTAATCTCATTTCTTGCGAGATAAACACAAACAAGAAGGGCAAAACAAAGCTACACGATTTTACAAGCTCTGCTCTCGGTCAGCAATCATGAAACTGAACTTAAGCACAAACATTTCACACATTTTGTGCTCTAGCCTCTAGGAGTAGAGGATAGATTTATTTTGCAAGCGCATAATCCCGTACTGAGATCAGTATTTAAGGAGTCCCAGGGTCCTGCCGTACACGACGAGGTCGTCGTATATCTCGTCCAGGTTCTTGTACTTGTACTCGAACCCCTCCTTGATGAGCTTGTCCGACCAGATGCTCACCCTCGGCTTCTCCGGAAGATGACCAATGCTGCAAACCAAACACAAGCTCACGACTAGTCAGTGCACACAAGCTTCGTAACTCGTCTAGGTGGGCAGTTGAGTACGTACCGGTCGTCGTTGATCTCGTACTGCGGGTACTTGGCCGCCAGAAAGTGGGCGAGCGCCACGGCGGTGGTGTTGAGGGTGCAGACGATGTACCGCCCGGACGTGGCCACCTCGGCGGCGAATATCTCGGCGCGGCACACGTCGTCGATGTGGACCAGCGGGATCGACCCGGACGCCTTCTCGATCAGCTCCAGGTTGTCCACCATGTCGTCGTCGCCTGAAGTGAGCGATCCATCACGCGCGCCACGTTATACGGAGTATATAGCACGCGATCACGGCGGGCGTAGCGTTGAAACTTGGAACAGAGACGCGGAGAAGAACGGGGCTGAAATCCGGACGGAGGCCTCACCGGAGAGCAAGGAGAGGACTTCTGGGACGCTGGTCTTCACCTTGGTCGCCGGGGCCCCGCCGACGACGACCACGGGGCACACGGTGACCAGGCTGAGGCCCTTCTCCTCCGCGAACGCCATCGCCGCCTTCTCCGCGAGCACCTTCGAGGCAGGGTACGCCTGCAGCAACGCCAAGACAACACGTAGTTACGGCGTCGTTCCAGACTCATATGCTACGTTCCACTGATTGATCCACCGACCGTACGCACCCAGGTACCGCTCTTGGTGGTCCTGAGGTACTCGACGTCGGACCAGGAGTCCTCGTCCAGGACGTGGCCGTCGCCTTCCAGCGGCCGGCTGGAGATGGCGGCCGTCGACGATGTCAGCACCACGCGCTTCACCGTCCCCGCCTTCACGCACGACCTCATCACGTTCAGGGTTCCTTGAATCGCTGGCTGGATCACTTCTTCCTGACATCACCCAAATTAACGAATTAAGAAGAGTATATGCTGATTTGTCTCCTTTTTCCAAAAAGAATGAAAGAAAAGAAGAACAGTATGCTGATTTGTGACAGACATGCCATCATGGTGCACATTCACACACTGTGACAGTGACACAAGCGCACACACGAAGAACAAAGTAAACGCTGAGACTGGAGTTTGTGGTCGTGTACTTGATTACCTCGGGGTTCTTTGGCATGAGGGCCACCGGAGCGGCGACGAGGAAGGCGTAGTCGCAGCCGGCGACGGCGTCGTCGAAGCTGCCCTCTTCGTTCAGGTCTGCGCGGAAGACCTCCAAGGGCCCCAGCGCCGCCAGGGTCTTGAGATGCGCGTTCTTCTCCCCGTCATCTGGGAATCCAAAACATCACACGAGGCATACGATCAGTTTCAGATGCCAACAGAATCGATCCCGCCACGGGTTCCATACGTGCGGCCTGATGGTTTCATCGGAGATAAATAAAGGTCTAGTAATTACCGGGGTTCCTGACCGTCGTCTTCACGGCGTAGCCCTTCTCCAGCAGCATCTTGACGAGCGCCGACGCGATGTAGCCGCTCCCTCCGGTGACGCACGCCGTCTTCCTCCTCGTCCCATCGCCAGCCGCCGCCGCCATATCGCCGGTGATCACTACTACAGTCTCCTGGGCTCCTGGCAGTAACTCGAGCACCACAGCTCTACTCCTCTGGTCGAGTGGTCAGGGAACTGGATTGTGCTCGCACCTGCACGTGCATTATGTAGAGAAGACGTGGTCGTGGCTGGTGGTTTCAGTGGTTGGGGAGCCGCGTTCAACACCACCCACGCAAGTCGATATCAGGATCAGACCGCATGATTAGGGACTGTTTTCACCTGGAGCCAGCCCTGCAACAAAAGGATGCGGAATAGAGAGAGTCTAGAGCACGGGGAGCACGAGGGAGCTGCACAGTAACCTTTTCATCCGACAAAGAATATACAGGCCGAGGAGGCGAGGACATCCAAAAGGCGTATGTGGTTTCATGATGGAGGGTGGTCAGTTTTCGTTGGTGTGCTTGTTACGAGTTTCACTGTGTTCTTCAAGTGTCGAGGATTGCTGCTGTTGTTTGTTTAGAGGGCCGCTTGAGCGGTTTCGGTGTTTCCTACTTTGCGAGTAGTCCGCATTTGGGAGTTTGTATCGGTTTTCGTCCGGTTTTCCGTAAATTAACTAGGCAATTTTTTTCTTTTTAATTAATCATGAGGCAAATATTTTTTGCCTCCGTTTCGAAAAAAAGAGGCGAGGACAAGACGATGGATTAACCATACACTAATTCTCTTCCAGGTCAATGTGTAGTGGACAGTGGTCCCGAGCGCGACGTGCTGCCAACTAAGAGATGATGACACATCAAAAAAGAAAAGAAAAAAACTAAGAGATAACGAGGACTAGAGCACGAGGTAACTATACAATTCTCAGCCTAGTCAAACAAATGAAATCAACTCAGCCTCTCTTTGTATACATAGACACATGTGTAGCGTGTATATATAACAAAGAGGGGGTGGAGGAGCATACTTTCTTTTGTATTACCTGTCAGCAATGGATAATATATTGGTGAAAAGCAAAAAAGGGAAAACAAACTGAAACATAAAAAAGTCGAGGGGGCGGGGTACAAAAATGCATAACAATAAAGAAATGTACAAGGAGAAACGATGCGGAAAAATGAAAATTAACAAGAGAAAAGGTAACCATTTTTTTAGACAAAAGGTAACCATTTTATTCCTCTTACGTTTAGTTTTACGTCATATCTTACTTCGGATTGCTAATCTTCTCTGTCTATTCTATGTCTATGTCAGTTATCATGTCAATTTTGGTTTATTTTCATGTCCTTTTCTTTCGTTCATGTTTTCTTTTCTACTTCTATTGCAGTAACCACATGTTTTTTTTTCAAATTCACCGATTGGGAAAATGTCCCGTTTTCGTTTATGTCTTTGTCCCTCTTATTCACTCATGTTGACGTGTCTTTCACACTCATGTCGATGTCTTTATCAATGTTTCTTCATAGTCATGTCGATGTCTTTGTCAATGTTTCTTCACAATCATGTCTATGTTATGTCATTTCCATGTCTAGTTTGGTTTATCTCCATGTCCTTTACTTCTTTAGATTCCTATATTTTTTTAAGTATATTTTGGTTTTGAGCATATATATCTTTTATGCTTATAAATTCATTGAGTACACTCCCCTATACCGCTGTAAGCATGTTGTGTGCCAAGTAAACCTAGTGATACTTCTCTTAGGGCATCTCCAACGCCGATCCTCAAACCTCCCGCAACCGTCCGTACCGCGTTGTCAGGACCGTGGAAGCCGTCCAACGTGGGCTTGTATCGGTCCGCGGTGCTGTCCGGACGCATTTTCTCCGCAAACCGGAGAGACAAACGTGTGGGAGCTTTGTGGGAGTCCGGACCGCTGTCACGCCCACTTCTGACCGCCCTGGTCCACCCAAACCCCTCCTTCCTCGTCCGTGCGCGTTCCCGCCCAGTGCCAGCTGCCGCATTCATGCCGCTGTAGAGCGCGCCGCTCCACATTGAAGGCGGCTCTGGACGGACGCGACCTCTCACTGCCTCCGCCATTAAAGCGGCTCGTTGGTCGAGGGCACCGCCCACTGCACGCCCGACTTAACACACCTCCTTGCCGCATTCAAACGCCTCCATTAAACCCGCGTGAAAGCCAATAAACCTATTTCGGCCACACGTCCGTTCACGAGTGGGCCAGCATTAAACGTAACACCGGGTAAGCTCCTTCCGTCAGCCCTCTATTCAAACAAGGCCAGACGCCGAGCAAGAATCGCACCACTCTGCCGCTCCCCATCTCCTCCTTCCACTATTTTCTTCACTCTTTCGATGGCGTCCGACGAGCCGGGAGAGCAGTTGTCCAGCATAAAAGCTAGCTGGATGGCCCATCGAGCTCGTCGAATACGAGCGAGGAAGCTCGCTGCTCCACCTTCTCACCTAGCCCAACGGAGCCAGTTGCCACCCCAAGCCGTAGACTCCGGCGAGGAAAAGTAGGCCATGGGAGACGGAGACGTCTGTGTTCCATGTGGACACTTCCATGTCCCAGGTCTTACCCTTCCTCACCAGCGACCCCCAATTTCACTTACCGATGCTCACGGTGGGGAGGATACCATACATAGGGAACAACCAGGACTATGAGCATGGATGCAAGCAAAGATTTTGACTAGGTTAACTTCCAAACACTTTTGTTTAATGAAATATGTCAAAAATGTAATGAATGTGGTCTGGTTTAAATGAAAAGCATCCTGTTTGCATGAAAATCATACGGTCTCTTCAAATTCTGTTTGAAATGTAGGTGGCGTTTAGGTACACAGTTGGATGGTCGGCTCCCATATCATTGTCCATGGATGGACGTTGTGTCCTCTTTAGGGGTCCATGTTGGAGATGCCCTTAGCATGCAACTCTACATGGAGGTTGTGGCAATCTGGGGCAAAGCTATCGTGCACGATCAATCTGATCTGGGCTAGTGTGGGACTGTTGTGGACGCACCTACTGGCAACACAAATTGGGTCTGATCTGGCTCTTGGTGGCAGAGGTACGGAGGTGCTCGATGCGGCGGGCATGGCTAAGTGCGGCTCTGGTCCGCTCGATGACCTTCGAGAGGCACACCATCATTGGTGGGCATTGGGAGAAGACTCACGTCACGTCCCATTCAGGCGTTGGTCTGGCAGATCTCGAATGACTTGATCTGATAAGGCCTTGTACAATGCTAGATGCTTATGAAGGTGCTTAGAAAAATAAATCAAGCTTTTCTGAAGCACCAGTGTCTATTTCTACAGAAGAGACGCCTAATTAAGCGTCTACCCTCTACAAATAAACATAGGTGCTTAAAGAAACACTGGCTTATTTCTCTAAGCACCTACCATAAGCACCTTGTATTGTACAAGGCCTAATGAAAGGCTCCCTTGCAATGTCCCCAATCATAGGGGCACATATTTTTCCATATTTCTCTTTGTGCATTAGCCTCCTTCTAGTGGTCATCTGTTGACATGGGTACATGTGGTGTACCGTCCGATGAAACCGGCAGTGGTGGATTGCTTAGTGGTGGTACATGTGGCTTGGTCGTCAAACTTCCCATGTCAGTCTACCCAGTACCTCCCACCCACATGACAGACTATGTCCACTAGATATCCTCTTGTTTCGGAGATGGTTGTCGTGTGCTCCACATTGGCGCAATATTAGCACACTTGACGTTGTGTGCTTTGGCATATCTGGCATCTCAACAAGCGTGTGATGTGTGAGTTCAGTCTAATCCACCATTCTCGTGTTGATCACATCATTGCAGCATGATGTCTTGTCTATTACATTGGTGGCAATAACACATGGGACTTCATCTATGGTGGTGCTCTCTGAGTACCAGGTCTTCAGTTTGAGGGTGAAAAACCTAGGTCTCGCCTTCATTGGTTGTAGATATAGTGGAAATTTATGCACTATTGTTAAAAGCATTGTCTGGAGTTTACATGGTCTTTCTCTCGTGTGTGAACACCCACGATTTGGCCTATGTGGTTGGATCTGCTGATGACGATGTCAAGTATTGTGTCCTTGTTGAAGTCAGCACCATTAGGCTACCTTCTTGTCATTTGCGTTTTTTTCAATGACGACAGTATTAGTTGATGTTTTGCTGCAGTGTGTTGGCTGCTTGGCCTCGACTCACATGGGTCATTTGTTCCCTTTTCCTTGTTGTTTGAGTGCACACTACTCGTCCTGACGGTGTGTATTCGTGTATTTGTATCTGCTTGATGCGACATCATAAGTCAATAAAGAGCACCCTTTATTAGTAAATCAATAAATCATCACTGTGCTAAATGTACTTATTTTTTCTTTGAGCCTTGTCTAGCCCATGTAAATAAACCATCACCATCTCATGCCATGAAATAGTTGATTGATGGGTGAGAAAAAAATGAGTGTGGCAAGAAACAAACCGATCGACTATCAATTATAAACTTGTTGTAACTTGGCTTTGACAAATGAGAAGAACACGAAAGTAACATGGGAAAAACATGGATGGCCATTAGGGTTGGTAAGCTACAAGGTCTAACAAACTTAACTTAATGAGCAGCTAACACGGAAGAACATAGAAGGTTAATTAAATAATACCGACAAGCCGTGTCTTTTGGGCCAAGATGGCTAATTGGTGTGAGAAGTGTGGGGGAGGGATTGTATGTTTGGATTAAACATATCTGCATGAGTTTCACTCTAACCAAATTGCACTACCGCACAAACCTCTATTGAGTGACGAGACCAAACCCCCTACCAGTTAACTAATGAATACCGACAAGCCGTGTCTTTTGGGTTGAGAGATTTTTGGTCAAGAGATACAATTTGCGTGAGAAACGTGGGCGTGCTCTTTGTACATTTGAATATAAAAAAAATCCATGTGAATCTTCTCTAACCAAGTTGCACTACTACAGAAACTTCTATGAGTAATGGGCCCAAGCCCCAACCAGTGACGAGTTTTGCGTCGTGACTAATGCCTCGTCACTGGTGGACACGAGTGATGATTTCAACCTACCTATGGGTAATAAAAAATTTAGGAACCATGACAAAGCTAGTTGGATGATGGCGGCACCAAAATTTAGGAAACATGTATGGAGGCA